TATAGATAGACTGGGTCCTCTGGACCCCTCTTTTTGAGCCTCTCTTTACATCCTTGACAAAGATAATCGGCAATAGACGCTTTGAAATCTAAAACAATAATTTCATTATTATTTCTTATACCCAGTACCTTGGTCTCTCTTCCATACAGTTACAAAGCATTCACACTGCTATATCAAATAAGTAAAACACAGTGTGGATGCACCACTTTTTAGAACGAGTCCTATATCAAGCCATCAACGACTCCATTAGATCCACTCCGCTCATACATTTATTGTTAAACTTTACAATGTTAGGACATTCTGCAAGAATGTCCTAACATTGTAAAGTTTGTGAATGTTTCTGTCTTTGCTTTGTCTCATCCTTGACCTTGACTTGTAGAATACGTGCCTACAAACGAACTCAGTAAATACAGCGGCTTGTTGTCGTACCATTTGACTGATTGTAGACAAGTTCTTCGAAATTCCTCCTTCCTTTCTTATTCATTTCCATCTGTGTCGGTAAAGAAATTACATCCGTTCAAACTGTTAGGACACACTGTACCTACAGAGGGAATACATAACTTGTCTAGTTGAACTTTCAATTGTATACTTGTAAAAATGTTATTAAAATATATCTCATAGTAAGCATTTCTTGGAATTATTATGCCAATCGAAGAACCATATTTCCCCTGACTCCAACATTTGGTAAATATACTTGATGCTCTTCTTTCTAAGTAAACAGTTTAAAATTATATACAATTTCGTTGGTATCACATTAGAAACGCGTTATAACCCTACGTCTTTGTTTTTTTTTATATACATTGTTAGACTATGTTTTCCTTTGAAAGAAATAACTTTTTCATCTACTGATAGTTTTTCTGTCATTGAAATTTTACAAAAATTTGCTATACCTGGTTTATCTCCGGGAATAATCTGACTAACGGAATCATCAGAGTCACATATGCAAATGTCTATAATTTAAAGAATATTTAGTTGTTTCTTGCCATAAAATGATTTTACACAAATAGGTTCCATTTCTGTTACCACCTACAAAAAAATTATGTTATAGTTATACATTGTGAACCATTAAAACTTTAAAATTACACAACATTTTTTACTTACAAAATACCTAATATTTTATTATCAGAGCAAATTATATTTGCTACAATAAGAGTCGGAATGTACTTACTTTTAGTTTAATTTTTTTTATATTTCGTCAGCTAGTATACAAAGTACTTGAGATTGTGATCAAAGTCACCTGTTACAATGCTGCAACGACCAATGCTACCAACGACAACACTCAACAACTTTTAGGACCTATGCATAAAATATGAACTTGTGTATGATTGAAATCTTTTGTGGTAAACAGTTGTCTGTAACCTTATACAAACAATGGACGTTTACGGATATATCAGGTTTAGAAAGTATTTTATGACCCTTATTCAACGTAAGTTTAATTTTTTTTTTTGTTAACTTTTATTCTCTGTCCCAGGTATATGTATTAGCTTACTGTTTTTAAATTTATGTCGTTCGACGTTATTTTTTTAATGTTTGGTGCATTTGTCATTATTTTTGTTTTTTCCAAGTTCATCTTAAGACTTACTTTTTCCGAAGCTTCAAATAGTTGCGTCATCATGGTCTGTAGTTTTTCGAAACTTGTAGCGAATATTACAATGTCATCAGCGTAGCTTATATGACTCAGTTTTCTTCCATTAACATTTATTCTTTTATCTGTTTAGTTAATGTCTTTAAACAAGTCTTCAAGTCCAAGTATGAATAGCTTTGGTAAGATAACATCTCTCTGCCGAATGCCTCTGTTGATTGGTATAACTTTGGTTTTCGCATCTATTTGTATTTTCATTGTAGCTTTCTTGTAAATATTATATATGAGTATTCTGTATCGGGAGTCTATCCTGCAGTTGTTCATAGCTCTCTCTATTGCCCAAAGTTCTATGAAGTCGAATGCCTTTTCATAATCAACGAAGCCAATGTATAAATTCAAGTGATATTCATTGGCTTTCTCTATTAAAGTTCTGACTGTAAGAAGATGATCTGCTCTAATGTATCCCTTTCGGAATCCTGCCTGCTCTATCGGTTGATGGTTGTCGAATTTCGACGTTGACCTTTTTAGTTATAACTCTCATAAAGAGTTTGTAAATTTGGGACAGCAGAGAGATTGGCCTATAGTTCTTCAGATCTCCCCTGTCTCCCTGTTTGAAGAGAAGTATTGTCAAACTTTCATTCCAATCATCTGGGACTTCCCCTTTGTGAAGACATTCGTTGAAAAAGTTTTTAATTCTTCGAGAATGATTTGACTCCCCTCCTTCAACATTTCTACAAGTATTCCATCTTGGCCTGGAGCCTTATTGTTTTTTAGTTGTGCCATAGCTTGTTTTATTTCGAAGGATTCTATGTTAGGGAGTATTTCTGAATTGACATTTGTTATCTTTCTCTTAAGATCTTCCTTCGCATCTGTTATCCTTCAATGAGATTATTATAGACTTTCCCAAGTTTGATCTTAATCATTTCAGGCCTCGGTTCTTTTCTATTATTTTTTCTACCTTGTTTTCATTGCAGATTCTTAAATCTTTCTTTACTCTTTTCTTTATTTGTTTATTTATTCTTTGAAACCATTGGTGTTTCGCTTTCCTTGGCTTAGAAATGTGCGTCTCGTTTTTATCAACCGTTTGGTTACTTATTCGGTCTTCTTTATTTTTCGTGTTCTTTGCAACAGTCAGTCCTTCTTTTAAGAGCTTTCGTTGCACCTCTTTATTAATTGTGTTTGTGTCGGAAGAATCTTGTTGATAATGTTAATTAGGTAATTAATAAGTTTAATAAGTTATACACTAAAACCTTTTCGTAAAATTATACATCGCAGAATAGACAAACTATGCGAAGAGAAAATACAAGACAGTTTGGATTCATGAAATGGCCAAACTTTTTAAAAGCCACAACCTTAATCTGAAGATAAAAATAAGGCTCCTACGATGTTACATCTTCTCGATCGAACGACGGAGTTAAATCCTGGACACTCACTGAAGCGATGGAGAAAAACTTAAAGCTTTCGAGATGTGACTATTCAGAAGAATCCTAAGTATATTATGGACGGACAGGATAACCAACGAGACTGTACTACGAATAATGGGGAAAGAAAAAAGAAGTGATATATACGATTAAAAGGAGAAAGTTAGAATATCTTGGACACATAATGAGAAACGGCACTAAATAGAGATTACTGAAAAAAATCCTTCAAGGCAGGGTATTCTAAAAGCGAGGAATTGGGAGACGAAGAATATCGTGAATAAAAAACCTGAGGTGATGGTTCTCCTCAACAACAACTAATATATTTAAAGCATAAGTTAGTAAAATAATTATAGCTAGTATTTGAAACGAATAAGCACTAAAGAAAAAAGGAATTACTCGTGTAATTTTTTTTACATGGTGATAACACATGGTAATTTAAATGATTCAACACATGATTTAAATAAACAAAAAATAATAATATTTATGAATTATGTAAAAGTCCCATTAGTTAATACCCTAGTTAAAAATTTTAATAAAATAAAAAAGTTTACATATTGTCTAACGGACTCACCCTAGCACAGAAACTTTTTTTTTAATTCCTATAAAACCAATTCCCGTAATGTCTTACGCTCGCGCCTTTACTGCATATGTACCCCAAATATTAGTTTTAGCAGAAAAGTGTATCAGATCAAAATTGTAAAAAATATAATTCTCTCCATTTTCGTTTATATACATTAGTGTCGTACATTTAATAATAAACGAGATAAATAATAATTTGATGTAAATCAGCATAAAAGAACCAACCCACATTTTGGCAGTTTTGAGATAATGAAGCTTTCGATTATAAAAAGTTAGTATTCCATAAAATGCAAAACGGTACTAATCTATTTAAGTGCATAGTCACGCCATCTGTGGAATAGTACCCTTACGTACACCCTAAAACGCGGTTACAGAATTCTACATAAAGGAACCAAACGGGTTGGTTCCTTTATGCAAATTTCATATCAAGTTATTCTATTGTTGGTTTCAGTTGTGTTTGCATAAACTGTAATCTTTCAATTACATTTTAAGTGTTAACGAGTGATATAATTATGTCTGTGTCCATAGGATGATATATGGTGCAGCTAACACAAAAAAACCAAAGATGAGGTATGTAATATTTATCAAATGCATACAAAAATTAGGTAGGCTCGTGTTTGCTCAAGAATATTGCACTACATGTTCCTTAATCCACGAAACATCTCATACTTTGGTCAGATTTTAGTTGTGACCAAAACCGAAATATAAAAATTGTACTAATGTTAAAGGCTGCATTGGAAAATCATTTGACATTAGAAGATATATCATTAAGCTTCCTGGTTTATGGACATAGTTTTTTAAAGAGCTTGAGCAATTTTTAAGACATAAAAAAGTTATTAAAGTTACAGCAAATAATCTAAAGTGTAGACGATTACATAAATATCATAAAAAACTGTTATAAAAAATTCCTTATAGGCTACGAAAATTCAAATAGAAAATTTTTTGGAACCAAAGATACAGAAAAGCTTACTACCAACCGCAGAGTAGATACGTCTGGCGAAAAAATTAATTTCCTTATTTGGGATAAATAAAAATTTATAAAGACAAACCATTTGAATTGTTTATATCATCAAAAACACACAGAGAAGATATATATGTTCAAGTAGGCATTTCAAAGAAATAAGAAAAAGGTAGAATTTGTTTAGAATATACAAGGAATCAACTGTGGGTTACGAGCAGACCAATATCATCCAATAAGTTTAAAGGCATATCATATTTACTATATTTTATTCCTGAAGACTTTAAGCACCACTATAATACTCTTATAAGTGCTACCAAGGGTTGAAGATTATCTTAAGGTTAGGTCGCTAATTTAGATTTTGAATTTGACAGATAATACCTACATGTAGCTTATTTGATAAATAAAATATTTTGCCTTCCAAAGTATTTTTTTTTATTCATATTAAATAAATATCAGAATGATTTCAATATTTAAATTTTATAATCCAGGTATTCACATTATGCAAAAAATAACCAAGCCACATAACAAAAATAAAATAACAATTTTTATAATATGGTCATTAGTTATCTTACATTTACACCAAGGAATTAGTTTAATCCATAAATGAACGCTTATATAATTCAAACTGCCCCACTACATTTTTGCCATTGAAATATATAAAACCTGTCGTAGCTCATTCTCATATATTTTGGGTTGGTTCTTCTATACATAACTACATCCAATTGCTTTTTCTCTCTTACTATTTACCCCCTTGACTCGAAAATATCGACCGCTCAAAAAAAATTGTATAAATAAATTGTATTTGCAACAATTTTAATAGTTACCATTTTTGTCGAAAAGTTAAAAATGGCGGAGATATTGAGCAAAAATTGTTCTCCTTTAAATTTAAAATGCCGGCTAACGCAACATTGAGATTTAGTCGCGATTTTAATTTAAACAAATATTGCCCCCTAACTAATATATTTAAAAAACGAGTTCCCTCTGTACTTGTTGACACTACTTGCGAATTTCAACTTTATAAGACTTATTGAATTATTGAAATATTGTAGCTTTAGTTACTGTTAACAACTATTTGTTTTATTGCTTTGCGGTGACTAGATGGAAAATCATAATAATAAGATTATATATATATATATATATATATATATATATATATATATGTTAGTAGAGCTGCCAAATTTTAATTAACAACTGAAATGTGTTTTTAGAAATTAGACATTTTTTTAATTGTTAAAGTGTTATTGATAGTTAATAAGGCATTTTTACTTTTTAGATAAACCAATATGCCGTTCAGAGCAAAAACGTATTTATGGCGTGGCTAAAACAGAAAAAGTTAAAGTTCTCTGCGAAGTTGAGTCCTATCCCCCTCCAGATAACTTCAAATGGCTCTTTAACAACTCAGCAGAATCCTCAGATGTTCCCGCCACTCGATACAAGACAGGCCTGCATAGATTCATCTCGACGTTGACGTATACTCCCATGAACGAAATGGACTACGGCACTGTAATGTGTTGGGCGAACAATTTGGCAGGAAAACAGCAGGAGCCATGTATATTTCATATTATTCCTGCTGGGAAACCTGATCCGCCCTATAATTGCACTATAGTTAATATGACAAATGAGTCGCTAGAGGTGGAGTGCACTGATGGGTTTGACGGTAAGTGAAAATTATTTGGAAAGTATATATTTTCTGGTATAATACCAAACTAAAAAGGAAATTCTTGTTTGACTGAAAATTATGTAAACGTTTTCGGTTATGTGATATATTTAAATGTACTTATAAACATTAAGAATGTATTGCATAATCATATTCTCCCTCCCAAAAAAAACAAGAAAGGTAATAATTATTTAAAAATATACATAATTAAAAAACCAATCGACGAATATATTAAAGAAATATAATATTAATAATTATACAACATATAGTTGTTATCAAGTTAAGCATAAATTAAAAGGACATTAAAAATGAATACTTTCAGTAACTTATATATGTTTTTTCTTGGTAGTAATGGCTATGGTTACGACTAATTAGCCAGAACATATTATATTAAATTTAGTAATAATTAAATCAATATGCTAACAAAAACATGAATCTATTTTTAACCATTTGGATAAAAATAGTTTATTCTTCCTTTTCAATACCTTGTGTCTCTATTTTAAAGTTGAATTTTTGTTATTTTTATACCGCATATTTCTTTGGGAAAGTAACGTACTACTCCAGTCGTCACAGACAAAAATGCCACCGAACCTCTAAAAATCATACGAACAAGTAAATTATGTAGATTATGTCAACTTTGAGACCCTAAATAACATGCCAAAAAGTTAACCACTTTTACCTCCCGGCTTCTCCCTGTAAGTTTTCTACGTAAGGAGGGAAACACGGCAAAAATCGATTTACCAAGAATCTGTTCGCTGTAGAGAAAATGTTTCAAATAAAAACTGTAGCTGATACAATTTCAAACAAAAATTATTTTAAGCAATTATTGTGTAGAATAAACCGTGGTCTCAGAAACAGTACTTAAAGTTTAAAAGTAAACGTTTTTCTTTATCGAGATTAATGTGGTAATAAAGAACAAACAGAAATGTTTGGATCAAGAGCAATGAAAAAGGTAAGGATGTGTTTACAAGAAAACATTAACGGTAAGTCTACTTTTTTCTGTGTAGTGTGAATCTTCGAAATTTTTTACCTATCCTTTCTACACATTACTTAATTAAAGTAGGTCCACAATTGTTGTGAAGTGTAATATCTTGGAGGGTTTAATTCATCTTTCTATTCTTAATAAGCTTAATTTTTATAAAACTTTTTAAATAGTATCGCAATAATTGAAGCATTGTTATTTTTTAGACATTCCTTACAGAGATGTTCACTCTGCTTATGTGCTGAATCTGATTCATCTAATGAACAAACCATGTTTTTGTTCATGAGAACCATAAAACCTGCTGTCAGTTAAAATTTGTTTAATGATGTGGCTAATCTAAATTTCTTTATGGACAAAGAAACTGAGAGTGAAAACATATTTGCTTCACCTTTTGTAGTAGATATTCTGACGTTGCCAATGAAAATTTCTGCGTGGATAAAGAAATTAAGAGTGAATACATATTTATTGAACTTTTTGTAGCAGAAATTCTGACAACTCTGTGGATTACAACATATAAACCAGATGATAGCAGTGTCAGTGATGATTGTGAGGACAATACAGCCATTGCCTGTGATCAAAAACATAGTTACTGAAAGGTGGTTTTTCAAGAAACTAAATATGGATAACAGTATTAAAGTGAACGAGGGAGATAAACAAGAAACAGTTGTAAAGAAAACTAGAAGGAGAAAACAGAATCATTCAACTTGGAAATGTAGCATAACAAAGGAGAAGGAACGAGTAGGAGACGAATATGTAGGTTTTAAAAATAAAGTAAAAAAAGCTTAAGAAGTAGAGCCCCGTGCAATAGATTATGTAGGTTTAAACGTACTACTAATATGAAGGATAATATTAGAATTCAAATATGTGATAGTTTTTGGACAACCAGACAGACTGGGATCATTGAAGACAATTTATTGCACAAGCAGTTGATGCGGGCACTAATAGCAGAAGACGTCCAAGAAATGACAATCAAAATCACCGAAGTCAGCATTATTACACTTACAGTTTCCTCTTAAATGGATCTAAAACAAGTGTGCAAGCCAGTTTTTTTTAACTACACTTGCTGTCTCTGAGAAAATAGTCGGAAATTTAATAAAGAAGAAAATTAATGATGCGGCTGGGTTGGTAATAATTCACAATTTACCCAACAACCAAATTCCAAAAAAGACAAAACAATTGGTTATGGAATATATAAACTGTTTTCCAAAAATGTAAACTCAATATTGTGGCAATAGGTTCGAAAACCGATTTTTTGATTTTTTTATGTATATTTGGGCTGTCCATAATACCTCAGTAGTAAGAATTCATGATTGAAGGAAAGAAGAAAAGACTGTCTACTATAAGTATTTCTTTACCCCCTGAATGAGCTCAATTACATTTTCCCATCAAAATTTTAAAACTGTCAATTTTAAAAGCAAAATGAGAAGTTCTGTCGATGGTCTCCTATCAAAAATATTGAACCAAATAAATAATGAAAAATGAATTCCAATTTATAGTTCAAAATATAACCATCTAATGGATTTGCTAGAAAGGGCTTCTATTTACCATTTCTTCTATAAATCTTTAAAAGCAACAAAAAATAAAGTTGTCGTTAACGATGGCAATTCTTCATGTTCCGAAGATGATTAACTACTTTTTAATTTAAGTTTTATATTATTTTGATAATGTTAAGTTCTAATTAAAAGGTACTTTTCCTAATAAAATCAAACCAAAAGGGTTGTCCTCGTTGTTAATGATGTAGTACCACAGAACAAAAAAGGTTGTAGTCCTAAATTATTTATTATTTTAATACAAAACAACTTAACGCCGATTATGTTGCTGTAAAATAAAATACAAGGTATGCTTGACCACTTTCTTTAAAAAAATAAATCTTCAACATCACGTGATGATTTTAAAGGCATTTTAAATTATGATGTATAAATTAAGAGCACTAATTTTGATCTACTGCAAAACAAAATAAAAATGACTTCCGCCCTTTCAATTCTAACGAACAGGATTGTCTTCTTCTTCTTCACGTGCTATCTCCGCGACGGAGTTTGGCAATCATCATGGCTATTCTGATCTTAGATGCTGCTGCTCTGAATAGTTCAATTGATGTGCATCCGTACCATTCCCTCAAGTTACGCAACCATGAGATTCTTCTTCTTCCTACACTTCTCTTGCCCTGGATTTTCCCTTGTATAAACAATTGAAGTAGGTTGTATCTCTCATTACGCATAACATGCCCCAGGTATTGCAGCTTCCGTGTCTTGATGGTTTCCAATACTTCCATTCTTTTGATGATTCTTCTAATGACTTCGTTGTTTGTCACATGCTCGGTCCATGATATCTTCAGAATTCTTCCTTACACCCCCATTTCAAACGCTTCCAACTTTTTAGTAGTCGACGCGTTAAGTTCCATCCCATAAGGCAAAGCCGAGAAAATATAACACCTTGCCAGCCTAACTCTCAAGTCCAATTTTAGTTCTCTTGCACAAAGTACCTTTCTCATTTTATTAAAGTTTGTACGTGCTTTCTCTATTCGAACTTTGATTTCTTTGGTATAATCGTTTGTGTGATTAATTATTGTGCCAAAATAGTAGTAGTGTTCAACTTGTTCTAAAGCACTACCGTTAATTGTCATTCTTTCACCATTCTTTTTGGGCTTTTGATATCTTTATAAATTTAGTTTTTTTGGTTTTTATTGATAATCCATATTCTTCTCCATACTCAACTATATTGTTCATTAGGTTTTTGGAGGTCTTAGAGGTTGTCTGCTATTATGATAGTACCATCCGCATATCTAATGTTGTTAATTGGTATTCCATTGACCTTGATTTCTGCTGTTTCTCCTTCAAGAGCTCTTTTCATAATTTCTTCACAGTATGCATTGAATAGTAGTGGTGACAATACACACCCCTGTCGCACTCCTCTTTTAACTTCAAACTCTTCTGATGTGTGTTCATCAATGCGTACGTGTGCCTGCTGTTTATAATATAGATTTGTTATAATTCGAACAGGATTATACTATTAATTAAATATATTTTTAAAATTTTTTTACTAAATACACAAATTTTTATTTTTCCATATAACAAATACGTAATCTTTAATTACGTGCATCTCTACATGAAGCATAATGCAATTGCAAACACCTTATTGCAATTTTGCAGTAGTATTAGAACTCACTTTATCTCTTTGTTACAAAATAATATTAAATTGAACCCAAGAAGCAAACTGTAACAAAAATTCTATTTGTACAACTCGATATTAATTTAATTCTGAAGGTATATACTTAGCTCCTATTTCTCGAAACACACTAAACCGATATAATTAAATATAAAAGAAGTCAGAAAAGTGCTGGGCACTTACTTGACGGTGAAGTGTTGAACGGTTTGGAACGAATTGGAAAGCACCTGCAGAGAGTTTATGAGACAGAACATCGGCTAGAGAGGAGCTTTAGAACTCTTTAGGAAGCTTTATTATAATTGTGTTTGTAAAAAGGTCTAAAGGATGTGTACAACCTCAAATACACATGGAGATTTTACACGCTGGTATTTTCAAGAGAAAATAGTGTAACCAGTAAAGATAGCGATTTAATTTTATTTTCGAAAACTTTTGGAATTGATTAAATAAAAAACAAAAGACAATGAGTATTCTTTACGTATAGTACAAATCTATATGTAATATAAAAACATGCATTTAATCAAGGATTTTTTTATTTTAATTATTAACCACTATGATTACTAACAGAATAATTACTTTTGTGTAGATTGAATGTGTGTAATGAGTAAATGCCTTGTTAATTACTAAAATCGGCCTCATTATTCTACTGAGTACATCATCATCATCATTGGTACCACAATGCTACAATTACAGCTCAATAAAATAGCCGCCTTAACCTTCCCAAGTCTATTACACCAGTCAGTTCTATCCAATACCAACTGTTGCCAGTTTGCTGCGCCTATTTTTCTACCATACTCATCTACACCATCCCTCCATCTGAGTTTTGGCCTACCCTCACTTCTACTTTTCATAGGTT